CCCTAGCAGTGATGTAGAGTTTTATTCCCCTAGACCACTCAAGGTAGTTCAGACCATCAAAGGGAATAACAGCCATGGGGAAACTCATATCCATTCCCCCACTCACTCCATTGTGGCTCCCTGAAATCTCTGAAGTAGTAGAATTCTCAGACGACATGGTAAGCACAAGATTTTTTTTTTTTTTTTTTTATCTAAACTCTCAACTTAGGATCCCTCCTTATATCGACAAAAGCTCCACACACAACAATTTAGTTATGGACTTAATCTGAGCACAAAAACAAACAACACCAACTTCCAAAGAAGAACTATGATGAGACTGATTTTCACCACAGCATTAATCAATAACGTGAAGTTCCACTACAGCATTAATCAATAAGAGAGATCCTAGCACATGAAATCAAACTAACGAGCGGAGAAAACAGGTCATCTACGACCTACAGTCACCTTTTCATAGGTACAGGATCACACGATCCAATAAATAAAAGATATAACCCTCACAAAAGTCTACCGACATTTACAGGATCACACGATCCACTCGGTACATGACCAAGGAAAGAAATAAAAGAAGAAAGAAAACTTTAGGGTTGTACTAGTTGCAGATCTGATTTGATCAGCCCAGATTCAGTCCTCTGTTCCGCCCAGATTCAGCAACTTGAAGAGAAAAAATTTGGTCGCCCAGATTCAACARCCTTGCTCTGATACCATCTTGACAATAAATCCGATTGAAATATGAGGAAGTAGAGAAGAGAAGGAAAGAAGAGAGAAAGGAGAAGGAAGAAAGGAAGAAGAAAAAGTTTGGAGCAATAAAACCGTGTTGGCGGCGCCAGCTTTTATTATATTATATAGGGCGGCAGAAATAAGAAGGGAAAAGACCCTTGTGCCCCTGCTGTAAGTGATTACAATAACAGAAATAAAAAACGCTTTAACTAGCCAAACAGACCCTAACACAAATAACCAAATTATTTTAACAGTTAACTTCATTCCTTTCCCTTCCTTCCCCCTCTTCCTAACTCTAGACCCAATTGTCTCCTTTTCCTATTATAAACCTTGTTCTGAGATTCTCCTCCTTCCTCCCCTGCCCTCTGTCTTCTATTTGCCTTTGTTTTCTCCCATTTGTCCTCCTTTTAAACTCTCTTTTTACCCTCACTAATCTCCTTATTTAACCCTTCTAGTAGAGGAGTGTCCAGTACGAAGTATTGACTCACCTTTCCCCCTTCCTCTGCTCCTTCCTCCGAAATAATATTCTTTGGAGAAGAGATATGCTCCTCTCCCTATTCGAAGGAACACTCTCTCAACCCCGTCCCTTCTCCTTGTCCGTCATTAAAATTTTCCTCCCTATTATGTCCCTTTTCTTTATGCGGTTCGCACTCCCTACAGCTCACCTGTGCAACCCTACTTATCTTGTGAACAGCCCTACTTATTTCTAATGGATGTTGAGAGATAATGCCACCTGTCTTATATAAGATTACTTGATCACAGAAATATGAATGGACTTGTAAAGTTCTTGTCATTTCCTATTTAATTGACAATACACAAGTCCTTTGAGTTGTTTTTTTTGCAGGATGGCTATGCTGTAGTTGCTTCAGATGGCCCTGGTGAATATCCCATAATTACTGAATCAAGAGCTGGAAATGATGGCATTGGTGTGACAGTTACTTCTGGAAATGTTGCATATGTAACAACTGGAGGCAAGTTTATTTATCCTTATCCTCATCCTCATTCTCATCATCATCATCATTATTATTATTATTATTATCATTATCATTATCATTTCTTAGTGTGGATGAATAACAAGTTAAGTTTGTGTATCTTTGATATTTATCTCTTAGTCATCGAACTGTAATCTTTTCATGTCCTTTCTTTCAAGAACTCTGTCTCATTGTTTCTTGTTTAAGGGGAGTGCTTGTTGGTTTTCTCTATTTCTCGATAGATTAGATACTTCATCAAAGATAAATTAAAGTGGATGCCTCATAAAAATATATAAAGCCCTTGTGGAAGTAAGTTTTCCACTTTCAGATATGACATGCAGTACTATCAAAAATTAATATAGCACATGCAGTTCCTAAGAAATGAAACTAAGGTCGCTGTTATGTGCATTATTTTTGGTAAGTACTTTGGTTATGCTAACACTTAACATAAACCTTCATTCAAGTCCAGATTATTTTCTCCAATTCAGTTTCTTTTAATCAAAATTGGAATGAAATATAAACATTCCAGAAAGACTCCTGACTAGTAAACTTATAAGTAGCCTGCAAGGATGCTAGGTAGGTAAAGAACACTGAGTTAACTTGTTGCTATATTCAGGTTATACCTATGATGTTTCAATTTTTTTTGATAATAAGAAAAACGCTTTGGGATTACAAAAAAAAGAAAAGAAAAGGAGAAAAGGGTCTGATCTGTAAACTTGACCTAGAAAAGGCCTATGATTTGGTGGATTTCTTGCTAGAAGTGTTGAGGAATAGAGGCTTTGGGGAGAGATAGTGTAATTGGATGAAGGGTTGTATTACCTCTTGTCACTTCTCAATCTTAGTGAATGGAGTAGATTGGGACTTCTTTCCTGCAAAGAGGGGCCTTAGACAAGGAGACCCTTTGTCACCTTTCCTCTTCACCTTAGTAGTTGATGTCCTAAGTGTCTTGATTCCTAGGGCTGATTCAAGAAATCTACTAAAAGGTTGGAGAGTTGGGAGGCAACAAGTGATTGTCACTCACCTACAATTTGTGTATGATATCATTCTCTTTTATGAAGGGGAAATTGAGGAGATGGATAATTTGAGATTGGTGGTGATGCATTTTGAGAGAGTTTCCAATCTGAAAGTCAATTGGAACAAGAGTTGTGTAGCGGGGGTGAATTTACAGGAAGATGATGTGCATTTGGTGGCTAGGGCTTTAGGTTGCGAGGTAAGTGGTTGACCTCTGGTATATTTAGGTCTGCCCCTGGGGGCAAATTCGAGAACAAAAAGCTTTTTTACCCACTCTATCCAGTTTTGGAAAGTTTCACTAAGCTAGCAGGGTGGAAGAGAAATTATATCTCACTAAGGGGTAGAATAACTTTAATCAAGTCCACTTTGGCCAAGCTTCCGGTGTATTTTCTATCTACCTTTAAGCTTCTTGCCAAGGTTTCCAATAAGTTAGAAAAGGTCATGAGAGACTTTTTGTGGGAACCGAGTGACTCAAAAAAGGACCATTTAGTAAAGTGGGAAGTAGTTTCTAGGAAAAAGGAAGGGGGGGGGGGGTCTAGGCATTGGCAATATCAGATTAGGAAATGTAGCTTTGTTAGGAAAGTGGTTGTGGAGATTTCCTTTGGAGCAGGACAATTTCCCTAGGGCTTCTCATTTCTCCCCTTGGAAAGCAATTGCTGGAGTCTTGCCTTCCTTTTAGCCTTTCATCAGATTTGATGTGTGCTCAGGTAATAAAGTTCTGTTTTGGGAGGACCTTTGACTTGGGAGCACCCCCCTTAAGGATAGATTCCTGGTAATGTATTCTCTTTCCCTAAATAAATTCAAAACCATCTCATCACTTTGTGTGTTTGAGGGGACATGGGATTTGGGTTTGAGAAGAGGGTTGAGGGATTCAGATTTGATTTCTGCAGATGAGTTGTTCACTGTGTTAAGTTCAGTTTTCCTAGATCTTTCATGCCCAGACAGTAGAATTTGGAAAGAGTCTCCTTTGGGGACTTTCTCTTGTTCATCTTTTTTCAATGCCTTAGCTCGGTCTGGAATTGTGTCTGTCTCCTTTCCTTCTAAAGAAGTTTGACATTTTCTCGTGCCGCCAAAAGTTAGGGCTTTTTGCTGGGAAGTAGCTCTTCAAAAGATCAATACTATGGACTTCAAAGAAAAAGGCTATATTGGTGCCTTTCCCCACATGTCTGTTACCTTTGCTTAAGAAATGGTGAGACGGTGACTCATCTTTTGGTTTCTTGTCCTTTTGCTTCTTATTTGTGGGATTGGTTCTCTTCTTTGTTTGGTTGCACATGGAATCCCTCCTCGGGTGTGCTGAACCTTTTTGACTCTAGCTTCTTCTGACAACCAAGAAAAAGAGGTAGGGTAATGTGGAGAATAAGAAGAACAACCATCCTATGGTCAATTTGGGAAGAAACAATAGGATCTTCCTAGGGCAAGAAAAATCCAAGGAAGCACTTGTTGAGTTTGTCACCATCAAGGTTATGCATTGACTGAAAGTACCTCATCTCTTCAAGGACTTCTCATCTGACTTAATTAGATATTGGAGTGCTATAGCTGTATCCTCTCCTTCCTCCCCTGTGGTACAAGAAAGTTGGGTACCACTGCCTCAGTTCAGGGTGAAGCTAAACTTTGATGGAAGCTCCTTGGGTAATCTAAGTCAGTCGGGAGTTGGGGGTGTGTTCAGAAACGAGGAAGGAAAAGTCTTGGCCCTTTACTTGGGCCCAATTGGAGTGGGATTCATTAAGGGCAGAAATAAGGTTTGAAACTGGTGAAACAATGGGGAATGTAACAATTAGAAGTGGAAGGAGACTCCAAGCTGGTAATAGGGTGGATGCAATCTGGAAACTTGGGAGTTTGGTCTCTTAGACAGCCTCTAAGAGAGATTATTAGCTTAGCAAGGGAGATTGGGGTGCATTTTAAATGGGTAAGAAGGTCAGCAAATGGAATGGCTGATACTTTCACTAAGCAAGAGCTACTAGGGAGGCTTTGTTTTGGGCTTGTTTGTAAGTTTTGTTTTTTTTTTTTTTCCATCCATTTTGTGGGTGGTAAGTCTGTAATCTTTTCAATTCTCTAATGAAAGTTACCATTTCCTACAAAAAAAAAAGAAGAAGAAAAGAAAAACGCTTTGATTATAAGAGAAAACAAAGATTACAAGTTCATGGTATAGAACTTTCACTCACAAAGATCACAAGTTCAAAAAGCCTATGATGTTTTGAGTTTGAAATAGTTTAGCCAATGTAAAACTTCTAGGTTGTACATTTTTGTTAATAACAGGATACTATAACCAATGAAAAATATGGTTAATAATTGGATGCTATAGTCAATGTAAAAATTCTAGGTTCTCTTGTGCCTCTTTCTTTAACTTGCTTGCTCGGTCTAACACTGTGGGGGTAAACTTCTCTGTGAGAAAAATATGGTGCAAACCAATTCCACCTAAAGTACAAGCTCTTTGATGGGAAATGTTCCTAGGGAAGGTAAACACCTGTGATTTGCTACAGAGAAGAAGGCCGAATACTTGCCTTTCTCCTCATGTGTGTGTTCTTTCCAAGGCTTGTGGTGAAACCCTTTCTCACTTACTATTTTCTTGCTCATTTGTATCTTGTATTTGGGACTACATCTGTTCTCTCTTTGGTTGCAGATGAATTCCCCCACGAGACATAATGAGCCTTTTCAACCCAAATTTCCTAAGGCAACAGGAAAAAAGGGGAAGACCGAAGATGTATGTGGAAGGTAGTACATGCAGCCATGGTTTGGTCTATTTGGAGGAAAGAAACCAAAGGATATTCAATGAGAAAAGTAAGTCGTTGGAGGAGGTGATCGGAGCCATTAAAATCAGATCAGTACATTAGGTTAAAACAATGGAGATGTTCAAGAGTATTCCTATTGATGACCTCTTAAGAAATTGGAGAGAAGTGGCATTATCAGAACCACTTAAAGAAAGTCCAAGAATGGAGTGGTGACCACCAGGTTTAAATAAGCTAAAGCTAAACTTTGATGGCAGATCCTTTGGCAACCCAAGAAGAGCAGGAATCAGAGGTGTCTTTCGGAACCATCAATTTGTAGTAATGGCCTTGTACTCTGGACCAATCGGTTTTGGTGACTTGGTTCAGGCTGAATCAAAAGCACTGTTGCATGGACTGAAGCTTGCTGAACAATTAGGGGCAAGAGATTTGGAAATTGAAGGAGATTCCCTTTTGGTCATAACATGGCAAAGCAAGTTGAGTCAGCACCCTGGAAACTCAGATTTACATTCAGACAAATTGACCAACTTGCAAAGAAATATAATTCAAAGTTTCAAACTTTGGATGGATTAAAAGGGAAGCAAATGGGCTAGCAGATCTGTTAGCTAAGCAGGGAGCTGATAGACCATCCTTATTTTGGGCATTGCTGTAACCTGTTATTATCTTGGGCTTCATTTTTGTGCCTGTAACAAGTTTTTTTTTTTTTTCTAAATTAATAAATGATTTTTCTTTGCTGATAAAAAAAAGGATGCTATAACCAAATGAGCTAATAAGCTTTTTTGAAATATTTTAATTCTTCCAGAACGTAAGTTTGCATATTCATCTGTATTTGTCTTTTGATTTATTTTCAAAAGTGGCACCTCACTTTGTTCAGGCATGTGCCTTGTCTCATGTGTAGAAATTAATGAGGTTTCAGAAGGTCTTCCTTTGTTTGCTGAATAGAGTGAAATTTATTTGGTTTGGTTTGAGTTAAGAAGTTTAAATTGGTTTTATTTGGTTAGTTTGGGCCAACAAGTCTTATGCTTGGATTTGCAAGACATTTGGGATACATTGGCTTAATGAGTTTTTTTTTTTTTGATAAGTAAAATTTTATTAATTATAAATAACAAATATGTACATGGCTTACATGCACCCTTTGGAGAGTAGTCACTACTTCCTTTCCCCTGAAGATTTGCTTTACAACTGTGGTTTGAGAAGGTATTCTTTTTTTTCCTGATTGCTTAGGGGGCTAGAGAAGGTATTCTTTTGTTTGCTGAATATTCTCCCAATGCTGGGAATTCTTCCCTTGTCACCCAAATTTGGGCTTACTACCAATTTCTTGGAAGGATTGTCGAATCTATCCATTGAAAACTTTGGTTTGAATCAACTGACTACACGAATTATATAGTTTTTTTTCCTGAGGAATGAATTAATGTACTTTGTGTACAGTAGGCATTTTAAGATGCTAGTTTATATTTTCTTTGAGTATTTTACTGACTTCCCTGAGTTGAAGACCTAGTTTCAGCCAGCAACTAGTAACAAACTTGCATATTCATAGAAAATAAAATAGGAAAAAAAGGTCGACTAGGAAGGCATGTTCTTTTTGGCACTATTAGAAAAGGAAATAAAAGAATTGATTTTTAGGCAAGATAATATAATTTTTTTTGAAATTTTATTAATTGATAATTTCACTGTATTCATGGGAAAACTTTATTTTTAAATATTAATTCATTTTTCTTTCCACCAGGGCCGATACCTAATGGTGCCAATGCTGTAGTGCAAGTTGAGGACACTGAACTTGTAGAAGGTGCCTTAGGTGAATCAAAGCGAGTCAAGATATTGGTGCAAGCTAGACAAGGCCTTGATATTCGTCCTGTGGTATAAGTTTATCACCTTTTCACTTTTACATTTGTGAAAGTAATCACAAATAGAGCTTGTTTGATGAAAATAACTTTTTTTTTCTCTTTCAAATTATGTGAAATTGGAGTAGTTTCTTATTAGGAACAGAGAAACCTTACTAGTAATATAATTGAATAGAAGAGGCTAAAATCTCCTTACCACCTCCTTAGCACACTGGTCCCAACTATATAGGGCTTTTATGACTGGATAGAGACCTAGCCCCTGGTATGTTAGCACATAGTGGTCCCTCTCAGACTCAAACCCCCTGTTTTCATGCTTGGAACCAAGGTTCAAAGTATCGGAATTGCAAAGTGTATCGGAAAGGCAATTTTAAGAGACGTATCGGGATACGCCTTGGATACACATGCACATCGGAGAAAAATTAAGATACGCATAAATATGCTTGGGAACACTATAAATACTTTAACAAATCATAAAAATACATCAATGAAACTAAATATAAGACCTCAATGAGGTGTACATACATTAAATTAATATATTTTAATGGTTTTATGAAGAAATATTTTGTAACTAATTATAATTTCATTAAAATCCTATGTTTAACTATAATTTATAAATTATAATTCTTAAGTTTTAATGTTTTATGGGATGAGAAAAACCCAACTCTCCTATCCAACCATAAAACATGCATTGGTACACTTCTATGTGAAAATATAATTATTAATGATTTATTATTTAAATAATTATTATTTATTATTCATTTCCAAAAATTATAAAAAATAAATAAACATTATATAATATATTCAAAAAACAGTTTTTAAAGAAGAAATTTCAATTGCTTTGTGGATATGATAGATCATCCATAGAATTATAATATATTCAATCATTGTGATCAAATGATTAAATATAATTAATTAATTATTTATTTTTTAATTCTAAAAATATAAAAATAAAAAATAATTATTAAAGAAGAAATTTCAATTGGTCTATGGATATGATAGATCATCCATAGAATTATAATATATTCAATTGTTGTGATCAAATGATAAAATATAATTAATTATTATTTATTTTTTAATTCTAAAAATAAAAAAATAAAAAGAATATATTAAAGAAGAAACTTCAATTGCTCTATGGAAATGATAGATAAATCCATAGATCTAAAACATATTTAGTCTTTATAGGTAGAGAAAAAATTACATTTTCAAATTTTTTGTCAAGTTATATTTTCCCCAAATTTCTTCATGAAATTTCCATAAATCTACTGATAACACAAAAAAATTGTGATTTTGAATGTAAGAAATGTAGATCAACATAAATTTCAACATTCAAGAAAAAAAAAGAAATCACAAGATATTATAAAAAATTGAAAAAATTTACCTATTTTTGCCATTTTTTTTTCAAAATTTGAAAAACTAAAAAATTAACGATTCACACTTGTTTCTTGCAAACGTTTGCAAATCTAGCACTCTAGAATGAAGTTTGGAGTTTTAAAATCATTTGGGGGTGAAAGAATGCTTATTTCGGGGAAAAGAAGCTTGCTTTTCCCCTTTAATTTTTTATTTTAGTTTTTGGCCGTATCTTTTTCGTCGATACGCTACCGATACACCCTGATACACCCCTGATACGCCCTCGATATGCCCTCAATACGCCTTGATACACACCCAATATGCCCTCAATACTCATGAAAAAAAGATGAAATGTCCGATTTCCATGCATATCCCGTATCTATTTTTCAAAGATACGATACCATACGCCCTATATTGGGTGTATCGTATCGAAATTTTAAACCTTGCTTGGAACCCCCACCTCCTCAAGGAAAAAAAGTGCAGGTACAAAAGAAAAGTGAGAGAAAAAAAAAAGTAAAATGGACCATTGAGTCTAAGAGTACAAGTTATGCTTATGTTTGAGTGTGAGGCGCCCGGGCCTGGGGAAAAACTGCTTGGGTGTCACACGCAAAATAAAAAAAAAATTTAAATGGACAGCATATACATCTTGGTGATGCAGGATCTTTATGATTCAGCACCATACTTGTAACCCATTTAGGTCTAAATGTGTAGCACAACAAGAACTAAGAGAGAAAGAAGAGAAGAGAAGAAGAGTGATGGAAATAAGATGGAAACCTTGGGCAATCACACGATTCACACCTAAGGGTGAGGGCAATCACACCCCCAACTTGGCAATCACACCAAATTCTGTAGAGAACTTTCTTTCATCATTCACAAAAACAGTCCCCAAATGAGCCTTACAAGCTTAATAAGAAGAGCTTCCAAAGGAAGAAACTTGCCCCCCAAGTTACTTTCCCAACAAGCCACTTACAAAAAGAAGCTAGAGTAGACTAAATCTGCCCCAAACAATTACAAACATAAATCCAAACAAAAGGAAATTACCAGACTAAGACCTGTTCCCAAACATAACCCCCTAAGCATGCAAAATTACAAAACTACCCTTACTGTCCAGAAATGTAAGAAAACCAAATAAGTCCTGTCCAGCGGCAAACTCATCCACACAATGAGCATCTTAAGGTGGATTGAAGGCTCTAGTCTTCCCAAGTTGATCCACTGCTAACCCAGCTCCCATGTGGGCCCCACGTCTTCATAATGGTGCCAAATGAGCATAGGAGCAGCTTTGGTTATCTTTTGGTATGCCTTAAGTTGATCCCCATCACATGGTTAAGATTCCTATTTTACTCTTAGATTTTCTTCAAAACCGATTGCTTATCCCTCCCAGAATCCTGTTCAGCACCAGTAATGTTCCAATAGTAGAGCCAAATCTATCAGATAATAGCTAATTAGTTCTCAATTTCAGATGAATCATATGATTTTCCCTTTAAAATCCTTATATTTGTTTCATTGCAAAATCCTGCAAGATTGCAAAAGGACCATAATAAAAGAAATGTCACCTTGAGCTCAAAAGGAACCCAAGACCAGGACATGAAAACATCATACAGATTACATGGGCATGTTTGTTCTACTATGAACAACAAAACAAGAAATGCTAAATGCTTGTTAGAATGAAAGAATAAGCTGCTTCCCATTTTCTGTGTTTCTTTTGCGCAAGATARACCTATTAGCCATATGGAAGCCTTGATCTGTAAATTATCAACTGTGACTGCCTTGCATAAAGTTATATTCATGTAAAAGGTTTCACCACAGGCTGAGCCAACTTCCCTAAATTTTTTCCAATAGGAGAAAATTTGGCCCAGCTTGAAATTAATTAATTACAATAGGAACTTGCATAAATCAAAATATATAAGCACAACATGTAAAACAAATTCAAAGTGGAAGTGAAAGTAGAAATAAGTGCAACATACAAAACAAATTAAGTGTTTTAAAATTTTATTATCTCAAATCAAAATATATAAGCACAACATAGAAAACAAATTCAAAGTGAAAGTGAAAGTAAATGATGGGCTTATTTTCTCCTTTTTCTATGGATGACATTTCATGGAATTGGACTATGATAGCAAGAACATCTTCAAAAAAGAAGAAGGGCTGTCTGTGGATGAAATTGAGTAGGGCATTTGTAAAGTTGAATTTTGATGGTAGTAGTATTGGAAACCCGAGGCCTTTGAGTATAGGGGGTGTGTTATGGCGGCTGTGTTTGGTGTGCAGAAGGCTGTGGAAATGGGTGGTGTGTCCAACCTAATTATAGAGGGTGATTTAATAGTGATAATAAACTGCTTAATGAATGAGGAAAAAGTGATTTGGATGAGTAGAAATCACTGTTTGTAAATCAAGATGAATTCCTTGTGAAGAGAAAGAAGAAGAAGATGAAGAGTTTCAGCAGTAGAGAAGAAAAGAGAGGAAAGAAAGAGCGGGATGTTAACCAGAATTGAATTAGTTTTGGCTGCCAACCCTTCATTATATTTTATACTTAACTTAAAAGAATGAAAGATTACAGGAATGCCCTTAGTAGGGCGGCTAATAAAGTAGCTAAACAGTCACAACTAAAAACATAAGCTAATGGGCCTAAAGCCCAACAACTTCCTAACTTAACAACTTAAAATAAGAACAAAACAACTGGGCCCAATAACTAGAAATCGGCCCAACTCAACACTGCCCCTCAAGTTGGGAGTAAATGTCACACATTCCCAACTTGTGTAGATCATGCTCCAGCTTGTTCCTTGCAACACCTTTTGTGAGAACATCAGCATGCTGCAGATCAGAAGCAATGTATGGGAGACAAACTTCCCTAGAAGTCAACCTTTCTCTGATGAAATGTCTATCCACTTCAATGTTCTTAGTCCGGTCATGCTGAACTGGGTTATGGGCAATGTTAATAACTGCCTGGTTATCACAGTACATCATAGGTTCTTCTACCTGTACACCAATCTCTCCCAATAGGGAATGGATCCAGAGAAGTTTTGAAACTCCATGTGCCATGGCCCTGTATTCAGTTTCAGCACTTGATCTTGCCACCACTTTCTGTTTCTTACTCTTTCACGAAACAAGGTTACCCCCAATAAGGGTGCATACTCCTGAAGTAGATCTCCTGTCATCAAGGCATCCTGCCCAATCTGCATCTATATAAGCCTCTAGTTTCAACTGTCCATGCTCAGCAAACAATACGCCTCTGCCCGGGTGTCCCTTCAAATAAGCAAGAATCCTGTCAACAACCTCCCAATGCTGAACTCGTGGAGCATGCATGTATTGACTTACCACACTTACTACATAGGAAATGTTGTCTTGTCATACACAAGTATAGCAGCCTCCCCACAAGTCTCTGATATCTCCTAATGTCCTTTACTGGTTCACCTTTTGATGCATTAATTTTATGATTCTGATCAATAGGAGTACTGATTGCCTTTGTTCCAAGCTTCCCTGTTTCTTGAAGAAGATCCAAGACATATTTCCTCTGAGAGAAAAATTCCATGTTTTGATCTTGCAACTTCAATGCCTAAGAAGTATCTAAGTTCTCCAAGATCCTTAATTTCAAATTCTTTGTGTAAATTCTTCTTCAAACAATCAATCTCACTTAGGTCATTCCCTGTGACAACAATATCATCCACATAAACA